CCCTTGTGCGTATTTTGCTGCTCAATCGGTTCAGTCGCTTCAAGCTAGTGCAGAACCTTTCCATGCCGTCCACATCTCGCCCTTCTTCCAACTGCTTTAGCAGCTTATTCAACGTTTCAGTCTTAGGAAACCATCTCTCTTTCCCGGCATTGGCAAATGAAGCACTGGTCTCCAGGCACTTCAAAGCCTCGTCTACTTGATTCCCCTTCAAGAAAATGTTTATGTACAAGTCCAATGTCTTCAAGTTAGGTTTAGTTCCCCTACTCAGCACACTCTGTTGCACTGACCTCGCTTCAACTACCATCCCTTGACTCAGATAGAAATCCAATGCAACGTTCACTATTCGGATATCATGCACCGAACAGCTCGCTTCCCACTCTTCGTAACAAGCCTTCAACGAGTCCGGTTCTTTCAGCCTCGAAAGAGCTGAAACCATGGCCAGATAGCTCGCATTGCTCACCTTAGCCTTTTTCTTATTCGACTTCAAGGCATCCCACACTCTGTGCACACTCGATGAATCAGAGAGGCGCCCATACAAGCTGATCACCGTGTGGAAGGCCTCGTCATCTGGTGGATCGCCCATTTTCTCCAACTCGTCGAGCACAACACATGCATCCTCATGACGCCCTGCATTGACATAGATGGTAGCTAAGTGTCCAATCGTAAACCAGTCGTGTTTCACACCTTTTGAAGCCATCCTTTTGATCACTCCTTCCACAGATCTCGTGTCCTTCAATAAAGCGTAGCTACTCATCAGCTTGTTCCAGGTGTATGTATCAACGGCAATGTTCTTCTCCTCCATTTCTCGTACCAACATTGGCACTTTCTCCTGCTGACCAACTTTCAAGTAGAGATGCATAAGGTTGTTGTAGTTAAGCGGATTCGGAGCAAGGAGAAGCCCCAATTCATTCATCTCATCAAAGATTTGTTCAGCATTCCTCACCATGCGTTCCCTGCAGTAGCAGCTCAGAAGGGATCCATAGGTTTTGTGTGTCTTTTCGGACGAATCCAGTCCACGAAAGTACTCTTCTGCTGCAGCAATTCCTCGTGTTCTAGCTAGAAGATCTATGTAAACAGCGTGGTCGGCATTGTTCAATGAGTTATTCTGGTTTATACCCCACCATTCATACAACTGCAGTTCAATGAACCATAAGTTCTAGAATCCCACCACCAAGGTTCTATGAAAACGGCAACTGGGCATAACTGAACAATCCTAAGAGTTAAATAAAGGGCAAAATTTTCTTCACCTGTAAAGCGTGATGGTACTTCTTGAACTTGCGCAGCTGGTTCGCGTACTTGGCAATGTGGCCTCTCTTCACCGATTTCCCTTCTCTAACCCATTCGTCCAGCAAGTTCCCAACTCGGCTTCCTTCGTCCCTCTCTCCAAAGCCCGCTAGCTTCCTGAAAAGAAGAGTCTTCTCCCCAACTCCCGCCTCCGATTCCGACGCCGTGCACAAAAATCGCGGCGGCGGAGCTAATCGGAATCGCTTCAGAACATAATAAGCAGCAGCCATTGTTTCTCTCTTCAGTCTCCCCAAAGCTGAAGTTTGGTATCTTTTCAACCAGCGCAGAAAGTTTGTAGTGTCAAGCGTCGTCGTTTTACACATATCTCACTGGCTAATGTTGGACTTTAAGGCCCAAAAAATGATTTGATTGTTAAGCCCAAATGTATACGAGCGGGCTGCTGATGGTCTCCCGGGCAAAACTGGCAACCTTCTTCTTCTTCCTCCAGTTTTTTTCTTTCTCTGTCTCTCGCTCCTTCTTCGTCTTTACTCCCTTCCCCGCTTTCCAGAAACATCCAAATTCCCACCAACGCAGAAGAAGCTTCTTCTTAGCTCTACATTCCTTCCGTGCTCTCCTTCTCGCCGTTCATGGCTGGAGCTTCGCAGAAGCATGGGCGTGATCAGACTATGGTATGTGTGCCCTTCTTCTTCTTCTTTCCCCTTTTCCTCTCTGTTGATTCTCTCTCACTCTGAACCATGGCACATTAGGGAATTTCAAGCAATTGAGCTTAGCCACACACACACAAAAAAAAAGGAGAAGGTTAATGGTTTCATTATTTCGTTGTTTTGTTTACCCTTTTGTTCAGGATTTCCAGGGATTTCTGAATGACTTGCAGGATTGGGAGCTTAATCTCAAGGACAAAGACAAAAAGATGAAGTCTTCACCTGCTTCTGATCAGGTGAGTCTCGAATTTGTTGCTTTTCACTGCAAAATTCGTCCGCTTTGCTTGTTCATTTTGCTTGGGCTGAGGTTTACAGACTACAGTAGTAGGCTTTACCGCTTGAGGGGGATTACTGTTGAGCAACTGGAATTATTGTTCTATTAGATAGTCTCACAGTGATGTCCGTCACAAAATTGGGAAGGAGTGTGGTCATTCTGGCAAAAATGTGAACGGTTTTGGATTGCATTTAACATTGCCATGGTTTGATGAGCATTCTCCAATTATTTTTCTTCTGTCTACTCCCAGATTGGTGGGAATGGAAGATCAATGAAGAAAATTTCTGCGGCAGATTCCTCTAGGAGGAACGTTTCAGGAGGATTTTTCGATTATTCGCGGAGCATTGATTCGATTGGCAGGACATCAGATGATGAGAATTCAGTGGATGCTACTTCGGAGAAAGAATTGGTAGGGAATTGGGTTCCATTAGCCTGATTCTATGTTATTTTCATATGTGTTGGTTTGTTGATAGCAAATTGACCGCGAAATGGATTACCCAGGGCAATGAGTATTTCAAGCAGAAGAAATTTGCGGAAGCTATAGAATGCTACTCTCGGAGCATAGCGCTGTCGCCAACAGCAGTTGCCTATGCAAATAGGGCGATGGGCTATATCAAACTCAAAAGGCGAGTTTTCTTCTTCTTCTTTCCCCATGCCATACATTCTTCTAGTCTTTTGATCTCTGCTTCGCTTGCGAATTGGTAGAACATCTCTTGTGGGATTGTAAATAATGATGATGTTTTATTGCTTCAGATTTCAAGAGGCTGAAGATGATTGTACAGAGGCCTTGAATCTAGATGATCGTTACATAAAAGCATATTCGCGTAGAGCTACAGCTAGGAAAGCATTAGGAAAACTTAAGGAGTCGATGGAAGGTACAATATCCTAAATCTAAGTTTTGATCTTGTGACATTGGGTCTATTTTGTGTGTTCTAAATCTATTACTTGCTGCAGATTCTGAGTTTGCCCTAAGGTTGGAACCTAATAACCAGGAAATCAAGAAACAGTATGACGAGGCAAAGTCTTTGTATGAGAAGGTGAGACCTGCTCTAGTTTAATGCTTTGGTTGGTTTTGTTTGCAATTCCATAGAATTGTCAATTGAAGGTCCTAGTTTTTGGCAGAAACTTATTCAGAAGTTATCAGGAGGATCTAATGTCTCCGCAAAATCAGTAAAGTTAGGAAGGTCGGACATTAAAGTGAAGGGGGATGGAGATATTTCTGTTTCTAGACCATCCCAGGCTGGATCAGCTGCTGTTACAAAAGATAAGATTAAGGTCGTGCCCTCAAAAGAGATTGGCTTTCTAAGTATGTTCATGTCTTTTCTCTGGTCTCAAATTTCTTCCTCTAACAGGAGAATGGTGGTGGAGCTCTTAGGACCAAAGCTCCATCAGTAGAGGAAATAGAAACCATAAGCTCAGTTACTGGTAGCAGAGTTGAAAGGCAGCAGGTCAACAATCTTCAAGCTCCTGCTGGTCCAAGCTCTAGTTCAGGACAAATCCAGGTATTGTTGAAAATTTTCTGAAGGTATTGATCATCATAAAATCCCTGTTCTTAATACCTTTTGATTGTTTTAACAGAATCGTAGCAAAAATGAAAATCAAGAGCTTAAACCGTCTGTTCATGAGCTTGCTTCGCGAGCAGCTTCTCGTGCCAAGGCTGAAGCTGCAAAAAACATTACACCACCAACTTCAGCTTATCAATTCGAGGTTTCTTGGCGAAGGTTTTCTGGGGATCGAACGCTGCAGGCTCACCTGTTAAAGGTTGTCTGTCTATGTTTTAAGTATAAAACTGACTTGCTTCATGGTGCTTACCCTTCATTCAGAGTTGATTCATGATTTCCTTTGATTTCCCATGTTAGGTTACCCCTCCAAGTGCATTACCACAGATATTCAAAAATGCATTAACTGCACCTATGATAATAGAGATAATCAAGTGTATTTCCACATTCTTCAAGTGAGTATATTCTCACATTTGACATGAATAGCCATTCTGTCATAAGTTATTTAAGTGAATCCCTTATCATGACTTGTTTGAGTTTTCAGAGATGACATTGATATGGCGGTCAAGTACCTAGAGAACCTGACGAAGGTCCCAAGGTTTAGCATGCTTATCATGTCCCTTTCAACACCAGACAAGGCTGGTAAGTTCTTCCAACACACTTGAGCTTTTACCTGCAAGTCAAGTGTTCAACTTCTCTTAAGACTTACTCAACTACATTTTCTGAGCAGATCTTCACAAGATGTGGGACGAAATATTCTGCAGCGACGCGGCCCCAATTGAGTATGCAGAGATCCTCGATAACATGCAATCTGCATACTGCATATGATTGCATGAAGTAGCTGACTTGTTTTTCCTTTATTCACCAACATTGTTCCTGTACTATAACATACATCTTTCAAGGTCTATTGATATAAGAAGTTCCTCCCCCTCGTCTTCTCTAATTGCCTTGTTCCTTCAACGTTTCACCTTATTGTCGTAAGGCGGCATAGTTCCTTTGGTAAAGTGTTGGATCAGTAGAGATCTCATCCTCACTGCTGATGCTGACTACATTTTGGTCCGTTATTCCCCAGTTCACAAGAAGTTGGACAAAATTGCAAAACCTTCAGGAATGGCCACAGTCCACAACCTTTGTTTTTGTTTTTGTTTTTTAGGACTTAAATGAAAACGAAAACAGAAACGGGTACCAAACTGGAATCTCGTTTGAAATTACCCATCGGCAATGGGCATTGCTATTTGTCGCCCTAAATTACCTTATTGGTCGCCCTAAATTTTATCGAAATTACTTAAATATCCTTAATTTAATTTTAGGTAATTTGAATGACCAATTGTCCATATATTAGTGTTGCGACGTTTGCTCCCAACACATACAAGTATACATCCCTCAATAACAAAATAAAATATAAAAGATTAATGATTTACAAGTTACAACTACACCAAACATAACCATTAAAAAATTATACAAATAAAAAAAGTTTCCAAAAATTATCAGCGTCTGCCAATTCCCGGCGCCGCTTCGCCGCCACTTCCATGTCCCTGTGCAATTTTTTTTGGTAGAGACCTTGTGCAATTCTCGAACATAGAAATCAACATCTGTCAATTTCCTCCGCCGCTTCGCCGACCTTCTTTTTCATCGCCTTCTTCCTCCTACTTGGTATCGACTCTGACAGTATAGGCCGAGCATCGGTGATGGTAGGGTTTAGGTGGACAGCTGCCCGCGAGAAGAATCCGACAGCGGCAGAAGTGACCGGAGAACAGAGGAGTTTGGTGGCGGCTGGCCAGGGAAATGGATTGTTTGTTTAGGGTTTTGTTAGAAATCGGGGTCAGAGGTTAAAAGTGTCAATTTGATGCATTTTAGGGCGACAAAAATTGAACTTTAGGGCGACGAATAGCAATTCAGTTGGTGCGATTCTGGGATAATTAGCATAAATGATCATAAACTTTTTCACTTAGTACAAATGATCACAAACCTTTAATTTGTAACAAAACGATAAAATACATATTATCATATTATAAAATCATCATTCCGTCATTTTCCGTAATTAATTTGATCCAGCCAGTCATCCAGTCAGCATCCATGTCATCGGGACAATTAATAAAAAAATAAAACCCAAAGCAATTAAACCTCCTAACCAACCCAAACACTCAATCCAACCTAACCCATTTCTCTATCCTCTCGACCTCTCCGCCACCATCTCCAAACATGTCGCCATTTTACTATGAATTTCTAGCAGAACCCTCCACCGTCGTCCCACAACTTGCTTTCTGAAACCCCTATAAATAAAAAATTCTTCTCCCCTCCAGCCTCAAATTCAATTCCCCAAATCAAATCTTTTTCTCTAAAACACATTTCAAAGACCCGAATCTGGAAAACCCCGGCAAATCCCCAATTTCAATTTTGCATCTTCTCACGCCGTCGCCATGAAATCGAAAGCAGGGCACAATAAAAAACATGTTCGTTGGGATAATTACTTGCCCGATTCGGGTGCTGGGCAGAGCCAGGGATTTCTATGTGAGAAACTTGACGGAATGCGCCAACGGAGCCAGCCACAACAATCAGCGTTGCGTCCCTTACCACCGTATCCAGTGCAGCTCCTCACCCCGTAGCCTCGCCTCCTTCATCTCACCCCAATAACAACAATAAACTTCCACCCAATCCCTTCTGCCACGACCTAATCATGACGTCGGGGCTCCACGCCAGCGACCACCGCTAGATCTTCCACCAGCTCAACGACGACGGCCTGCTCAGCATCGATGAGCTCAGCTGACTCCTCGACTGAATCGGATACCTCCACTTCACCAACGACGAGCTCGTGTCCTCCGTCTGTAAACCCACCCTCTACTTCGACAAGTTCCTCGCTTTCTACGGCTCGATCGAGGATGGCGGCGACGAGCAGTCGGGGCTTCCGTAGCGGCGATGGAGAAGGATTTGGAAGAGGCATTCAGAGTCTTCTACATAAACGACAACGGGTTCACAATGAGCAAGGAGATCCAGAAAGTGCTCTCGAGATTAGGGTTGTGGGATGAAACCACCGGGAAGGCTGACGCCGGAATCGTCCTAATTGTTGCGGAAATTGCTCACGTATACTATTTTTTTGCAACACAAACAAACACATAAGATTAAGAAAACATGCAAAGACACATGCAAGCGTCCTAGCCGATAGAATTCACTATCTCTCCTTAAAAAATCTTATTCCCCTCTAGTATCCAAGGTTATGGAATGATTCCTCCCAGGATAGAATGGATGTACCTTTTCCGCCGTAGCGGTACCTCAAACCCTGGAACCCATCGAACGAAGCGAACCGGCGAGAACCACACTTGACTCGATTTTCTCTTTGAAAATAATGCAGAAAATTAGTTTTGGATTTTGGCAGAATTTTGGTACCGGAAAAATCCCATGTTAAAACCAGGGTGGTTAGGTGCTATTTATAGAGAATGAAGGGGTGTGTACGAAGGGGTGCAACTCTTCGTATGGGTGGTTACGCCCCAACCAAAACATTGGTTCGTTTTAAAATAATGAACCATTGCATCGGTTTGGCCCATGGTAGCTGGATCGGTTTGGTTATTCCAACCGTCATATTGGTTCGGTTCAATTTGGTTCAACTCGGTTTGGTTTGGTCCATTTGGTACACAAACCAATTTAACCGTTTAACCACATATTATATCAAATCGATCGAATTCTAGGCCACGCCTTCCCACAGCTTACCAACATGGTACTTCAAGAGACTCTCTTGAAACTTTCCCCTTTCATTTCCATTCACACCACTAAAAAATCGAACAATCCCCCACATGAATGGAGAATGCACGTTTGCAAAAACTATGCAAAAAACTGTGTGATTCTCGACTAAGAATTAGTTGCATCGAAATAGGTAGGTTTCCCTTTGAACCTTCCTCAGTGAACATATATCGAGTATACTCACCAATCGGTAGATGTGATATCTTTGAACAATCGGTTTTGCTTGTATACTAAGACAACATATGTCACACAACTAACTCTTATATGTTCACTGGTTCTCATTGTTGTGTTCGTTTTAGCCATGAACACCGCCTGGTCTCATAAGTACTTAGTGAACTGGCCTTCTTTTATTCTCCTTGAAACGACTCCACTTCACACTCACATAGGTGATTTCTAAACGTGTATTCTGAAAATACACTATCTGATCACACCACGTGTCAAACTTAGAAACCATTAAATACCTTTCATATTTAGGCTTACCCTTATTTTGGACATTGTCTCGTCATGAGAATGAACATTGAATAATTTGACAATGCGGACCATCATTGACAACTTTGTATGCTCCTTGAACCTAGAGGTTGGGTCTGCCAATCCTACTTAGGTAGAGTTACCGCCATGATGATTTGTCCGAGGCCACGAGTCCATTACCTTCGATGCTTTAATTAATTTCTAGGTGGGCCCCACATTTATTATCATTTGATCTAAACTGATCATCTTCGATAATTTCACTAGAAATTAACAGTCAATAATGTTATGTTTCTACGACGAGATTTTTCACATAACACTTCTAGCCCTTGCAATAATCATTTTGTGAGCAAGTGCGTTTATTAACGCCGGTCTATGCGGGCCAGACTATTAAACTTCAGCGGCCTTAGAGTGGGTATATATTTAGTCAACTTGGATGTTTTCCAAGGTACTGCTCCCCAGCAACCATAAATCTGCATCCATCAATGGATTATACCTTGTGGTCCATCCGGTAAGTTCCTTTGGGTATAATATACCAAAGACTCGTCTCTTTCGATTCACTACACATCATGTGTGTTTTCCTTGATTTTATTTCCTTGCAATAATCATAACACATGCCAACGGTGTTGAAGTCTCTCTACTTCATTAACCTTAGAGTACTTGAAATGCACAAGTATCTCTTTAAATATGTAGTGACATTTACGACTTAGCTGAGGGTTTACACAAAACTCCTAAATATCACTTTCAACTGGAATCACCAAAGCGATATTCCATACCACTTCTTTCCAATATACCCCCATATTTCAACTATTTCGCCATAGTTGTTGAAACCAACGTTTCCGGCTAGGGGAATGTTGTTCATGTACTTGCATGTATATGGTTGACATTGTTTACCCATTGGGAAGAGTGGATCAACATTTCTATGAAATCTTCTTTGGATTTCTCAAACTAGCTCTCTGACGTAACTGTCAACATATGCTAGAGTTTACTCATAAGTTAACCCTTGAAATTGGTTAACTCCACACAGTTTATGGACTTGCTCTTTCTCACTATACACCTTCATACTTTGAAGTATGACTTCGTTTACCTTCCCACATTTTCTTTATGGATAGGTTTATGTCTCGTGTAGGGTTTTGAGAGATCATAGCTAGAACAACGACTCGCTCTTCTCCCCCACAATTTGCCCATTTATTTTCCATGTTTACTTGTTGAACTTGCCAACCTCTATATGTATCTAATTGTTTACAAATGGTATGATCTCACTCGATTAGCATACTACAAACATTTCAGATTTTATTAGAAATATCATCTAATTACTTACCAATGGTATTGATCAAGACAACTTGAGACGTCATAAGTAATTCATATGCATTCCAGTAATGGAAGTTTCATCTAATTACTTACCAATGACATTTCATTTATGTAACATGATATACCACAAGTAATTCAAACGAATTTCTAATTCAATTGTCTAATTACTTTCCAATGGTATAAACTTCATAAATATACCATAAGTCATCCATACTTTAAGTTCAATAAGATCATCTCAATTGAGCTCTCATGCCAAATTATTTTCCAATGATATATATCTATATATACCCTAAACAATTCTGGCAACTAGCTCCACGATTGATAATCATAGTCAAATTGTTTTCCAATAGTATAATGTACTTATACCATAAACAATTCTGACCTAATGCTTATCTTGATGACCACCATCATTTGGCAAGCTTATTCAATCCCTATAAGGATCAATCATAGCTTCATATTCCTTGTCCTCATGACATAGGAAACATCAAATCCTAGACCTCGTACATAACATACAAATTATCATGTCTTCACAAGCATCTTCGGAATTAGAATTCCTTATCGCTTATGGCTACCTCGTAATGCAATCCTATAAATCTGCATTAAAAAATTTCATCTCCATCACATTGGAGGTATACTCTTTCGTACTATGTTCAACTTAATTTTTGAACATAACCTTTACAACCATTCCGGCTTAGATAGACTTGATTCACAAGTCCCCACTAGCCTCCTCCATAGGTTTACACACTTATGATTGTTTATATTTTCCCACTAGATAGATTACAACTATCAAACCACCTTTTAGTCCACGAAAGGCTATCTTGAATTCATTGTGAATTCTTCAAATTCAAATAAGTTGAATTTCCTTGTAGCCATAATCATAATATGATTATGACATCGCTTCCATTTCAAATACTAAACAAAGTATTTGGTATCATTGACAAAACCGAATTGGTTAACCAATTATAAATCTTTCTCCAAACCAAGATATTGCACCCACACCCAGCCACTACAATGGCCAGTTACACCTTGCATGCACCGTGCACGGAGGATTGACACTTTTCCCGCACTGACCAATCAAAGTAGCCAGTTACTCCCATCCCGTGATCATATGGGATGCCTATCGCCACCATTTGTTTTACATTAAATGCCATCATTTGACATACATCCTTTCTTTCTTTGCTTCCATCGCATGGTACAGGAACTTAGTTCCGCTCTCTATATATGCATGAGCATATAGTGTTATAAACCGAACAGGAAAATTAGGGTTACTGATCTGGAGCTGAGTCGCGGACTAGGTCGCTCTCTTTAAGACGTTCGCGACACTTCCCTCATTGCTCACGATAGACTATTAGCCGGTCTCCTCCAGGATAAAACAGCTCGTCTAGATGCTCGACGGTTTTGTGCAAAAACAGGAGCTCTCTAAATACACTATCCCTCGTGTTTCTGCTCTCTGATTATATGTTTGGAGGGTCTGGGATTGCTCTATTTATAGGAGCAAAAACCCTAAAATATTCCCTCTTTCGTGGGGAATAAGTCCCACTTAATTAGGAAGACAATTACTCCCATTAAAATGTGTTCTATTAAGATAATTAACTCTAATTATCTTTCTAATATTCCTTTTATTAATTATCCTTCTTATTTTTCGTATATGAAAGTATATAGGATAATTAATTAGGAATTTCATTTATAGCTTTTCAAAGCTATTCATCCCAACAATCCCCCACTTGAATAGTTTTGAAACTATCTCTAAGCATCAACAGTTCTATATAGGGCTGGTAATCGGGTATCCGGTTAACGGTATAACCAGAAACTGAACCGGTAACCGGCGGTAACCGGTATACCGTTAACCGGTATACCGTTAACCGGTGTGTGGCGGTACTCGGATGGGAGAAAGGAGTAGCTGGTATACCGACTAAGTTTCGGTATAATACCGACGGTCAGCCGGTTTTACCGATACCGTGAAATAACCCTCCCCAATACTCCCCACCCTCCCTTCACCTGATTGCGAGAAGCTCTGCTACCCTTCTCTCCTCTCTTTCTTTTTTTTCTTCCCTAGCAACCTCTGCGCAAGAAATTCCCAACCTCTCCAAATCAACAAATCCAAAACCAACGTTCATGATTCTCAATCTCAAATGGCCACAGCCCACTAAAAATCCCCAATCCATGCGCTACCTTTTCCAAATCGGCAAATCCCCAATCAGCCGATTCCCGACCCCAACTCTCTCAGACCAGAGATTTCCGACCCCGGCCTCCTATGACGGCTTCACAACCTCCGACGGCGGCCTCGCTTTAGTTCCCGAGTACCGGCCCCAACCTCTGAAGGCTGTTTTACCTTCGTTCTCGAGTCCCGACCGCAACTCCGACCAGAGATTCAGCAAATCTGGAGATCCACCGCTGCCGCAGCACCTTCGCAGACGGCCGGATCCACCAGCGACGACTGCATGCAGGAGGGAGATGGAGAGCCTTCGTGCGGTGGAGATGCTACTCTGTCTCGAAAGTTTCTCCAGACCCCTGCTTCTGCTCTCCGTGCTCTGCAAAGAGTGGGTCGGTTGGGGGAAGATGAAGAGTTGAAGACGAAGAAAAGAGAAAGGCTTACCGGTTTTCGGATAACCGGGAACCATAACAGTTACCGACAATCCGGTAAGCCGGTTAACCGGAAATTACTCTGTACCGGTAGTCGGATTCAAAGCTGGGCATGTCGGTAATACCGATAACCGGTAAATCGGTAACCGGTTATACCGATACCGACCGATTACCAGCCCTAGTTCTATAAGATCGGGCATAAGCTAAGGTATCACGAAGATTTGAACCTTAGCGTAGTGGTTACACTTCCGATTTCATAAGGGTGACTCGTAGTCTTGAACCCTATCTCAGACAGTGTAGCACACTGAATCTTTTCATTGAGTAGTATTCTCTAATAACCCGTGCTTTTATGGCCCTGCACGTTATCCCAGTTTAGTGAACGCTCTAGCAACTTTGTGCCTCCAAAGTTCCATAGGGAGCGGCCTCACTCCCACATTCACATATGTGAGTCTATCAGAAGTACCCCCAAAGTAAAGTACTTCACTCCATATAGAGTATAGATCTCATTAAGAGTTTAACTCAACCTCCAAGGCTTTGGGATTCATGTTTCACTATGCATGAACTTTTCTCAATATTACTCATGACTTGTTATTTCCCATTGAACCCGTTTCTTGGGATCTCCAGTCTATCGGGTCGGGTTACCATCACTTGTAATCCATGGTTCGGTAGGCATAAGTCTCATACCTTCATGGTATTTTGGACTTTTCTCTCTAGATAATCCTTTCGTCAAAGGATCATCTAGATTCTGTTAGAATCTTACATGATCCACCCTCATTGCTCCTATCTCTAGGAGTTCTCTTACAGTACTGTGCTTACGACGAATTTTTCGGTTCTTTTCGTTCTAGAACCGGTTCCCTTCTTTTGAAATAGTTGCGGTGCTATCACAATGAATCAACTACCGGAGGGATCAATCTTTCCCATAAGGGAATCTCTAGTAGCGACCCTCTTAATCAACTTTCCTCTTTACTAGCCATCGCTAGTTCTATCATTTCTGATTCCTTAGTTGATGGAGCCAGGATCGTTTACTTCTTAGACCCTACCAATACAGCCATAAACCGTTGATAACTTATATCAAGGTCTACTGTTCTTAAGGTGTCTCATGACCCCTTTCAATAGCATTTCAAATCCTCATGCTAGGACAATCAGTAAGCCTGCCAAGTACCCCCCACTAAATTAGGTATCATGTTTATTAGCTGCCTCTCGCAGAATGTCAATGCTAGTATATTCTAACTTTCTTACACCATCTTAGGTGTTCTTTAAATATTTATACTAGCATCATCAAACATGTATGCAGGTCTACATCTTGTATTTTCCTAGTAATTAGGATCTCTAAGCAAAACATTTGTTTCTTCAGATCCTTCACATTCAAAATTCTCAACTATCATGGTTTTCCAATATTGACATCATGAGTCTTTGTACCTAAGATCGACGTGTCATTCATAATGCAAGTGTCATTCTCAAATTTGTACTCAATGCACTTGTCATGTTCGCTTTCAAAACCATGAGAGAGAATCTGATTATTCATGCCACTAATTCTGAGTCTATTTCAAATCATATAATGATTTGTCTAACCATAGACTCCATAAGCATGTTCTAGAATAACAACCTTTAAGATTGTCCCATTGTAGATTTCTTTATTCAAATCACCATTCACAAAAGAATTTGAACATCCATGTGATGGATGTTATTCTACATATCGGTGAATAGATATCAAAGAAATCTACAATTTTTCCTCTTCACCTAAAGCCTTAGCTACTAGGTGACCATTATACTCATATACTAAACCAACAGGTTTCAGTTTTCCTTTTAGGAATCCATTTATTACCTTGGCTTCATTGCAAGGAGGTAATTCTCAAAGATGCCAAATCTTGTTCGGTTCCACCAATATATTACCCGAGGCTTTACAACTAAGAGGCAACTCTACAAGATTCTAAGTCTTACTAGACTCAATAAATTCCATTTCGTTAATAATGGATTCTCCCACGAATCTGCATATTTATGAAAGTTCAAACTTCAAGCAGACTTGTGGGATCTTTCTTAGGGTGTAAATAACAAATTCATAACCAAAATACTTTAGTGATTTATGGTTCATTTGTCTCTTGTGAATTCATACTCAAATTCATCACCCCCACAAGTTCCATTATTTCTAATAGCATGTAGGATATTACCCCCACTATTTCTTGATTCAAATGAAACTTTATTAGCATCAATGGATTCTACACAACAATGAGTATTCCATTTTTTTTTAAACTTATGTGTTTTACAATATCTTACACACTCATATGCTCTTCTAGTTATCATGTTACACTGATTCTTTAACGCTACCACACGCATGCCACATATCGAATAATCAGTGCAATCTTAATGCAATCAGACATTTCAAACCATTTCAAATAACTAGTCATACAATCAGAGCACTCTAAAGAGCAATAAATTATTTATTGTCTTTTCCATCAAGTTTACCCATATCAACATAAATCAGATCTATTGATTCTGATTATCTAATCACTTATTTATGGGTCATTTAGCTTGGGGGAAAAATTTACTTTTATCTCAAGCATTCAAGAATAATATGAGAATGTGACTTTCGATATTATGATTCTTCATACAGACACATGTGTCACACGTAGAAGAATTCTCATTATTTACCTAATCATTCCTTACACTTAGAATAGTCAACGACTTTCTAGAGTTTAAGGTTCGTTTCCACTTTCCGAGAACCATCAACACTGGTGGTGAAGGCAATGCCCAATCAAAACTTTCTTCTCACGCCTCAATTATGTATGATTGAGTTTAGCTCGTTTATCACACACATGCCTTGAGGTGGTAGTTTCCAACAACCATTCTTGAGAGTTACCCTTAAGGTTAACCTCTGTTCTTATCTCATTGATCATTGCTCCCAAATCCTCTTCTTTAATCAAGTTAACAATTGTACCATGTTAAACTTGTCCATACACTTTCGTGTCATATGATCTAATTTCTCTCAATCATACCAGAGAAACATAGTAGCATTTTAGAGGATTGGGTGACAATCTGTTGTCTACCACGAAGGGTATCATTCTAATTGGTGTGGATCTAGTTCAGTTTATTTCTCTCATTCTTGAAACTTTAATGTTTCAGAGCAACCTTAGTGGTTCATGTAGTACTAACAATAGTACTTCTTACAATATTGTCACTATGGGCAATTAACCCATTCTATCCTCATATATTCTTCAGAGTATGCATTTATGTAATCGAAATTACTCTACTTCACAACATGTACATAAAATTTACTCTAATCATCAAGAAACTACATCTCAATGTCAACATAATCATGCATCCATTCTATCTTTCTTTTTAGCATTCATTATGTTTCTCAATTCCATGCATAGTATCGTATGACATAACTTCTAGTTTGTCATTCATTAATGACTCTAGAAGAAGGTTTAAGTTCTTACCTCTTTTTCAAGAAGTCATTGCAATCTATCCATGTCATCGCCGTAGCACTGGACTCGCAGTCGCAGGGCCCCCTCAAAGCAACCCCATCGGCTTCTAAGTGAGCTCCACCAGCAGAAGCTATGCATTTCTCCAAAGAAATTGCTACCGTCGAAGCAATACATCCCAGAGACTTTCGAATTTGTCCCTGTCAGGCTGTCACTAACTTCCCTATTAGCGGAGCTAGCGAATTTGTCATCGTCCACAAGGCTTCTCCTGCTGCAGGCCTTAGGATTAGCCCAATTATTAGGATTTAGGTGAGCTCGCACAAAAAATCCACGTGCCCACTGCTGAAACTCAAAATTCCTTCCGGCGATGATCCTCAATTTCGGGCCTAGTTCAAAGTTCTCCTGGCTTGGCTTCGGTTATGTGGCGGAAATTGGGCATCGAGGCACGGCGGTAGTGCTTATTTTTTATTATTATTTTATTAGCTGGTACCCTACACCAGGGCGCTGCGTTGCCGTGAAGGATGTAAACACCGATTTGCCTTCGATCGCCGCTTAATTGCATAATAATAATAATTCCTTCTTCCCAAAAACCATTGTTCCATTGAATAGACGTTCTTCCCAGTGAAAGTCCCTTCCAAAACCCATGATTCTTATTGACAAAGCAATTAGATGTGTTATTCAATTGAACCTCCACCCACCATTCAGACACCTTATTAACCAGACTCCTTGGAGCGTCGCGTGATTCCAAGAATAATTCGAACATGTGGCTTTAATTCTAATATCCCGAGAAGCGCTGAAATTCCGTTAGAGGCGATCATGATTAATTCCTTCAAGCCTTTCAGATAATCGCACCTCTTCTAATTTCCGGGACGCAGCGGCCAGGATGAAGTTCAGCTCGACCCGGCAAAGGATGGAAATCAAGAATGTATTCCGATCGGCTTCCAAAAATCGAGACAATAGATCGTCCGAGAATTCTCCTTCTGCCGCATCGTCGTCACTCTTTTATCGAAGACACTCTCGAGGCTGCTGGTCAATCTCAGTGCCAACAAGCTCGGTATGGCAATGCAACTCGCTCAAGCCAGAATCGGTATCCTGTTCGGTACAGATGACAGCAACCGAACGTCTTAAAATTGTTATAAACCGAACAGGAAAATTAGGGTTACCGATCTGGAGTTGAGTTGCGGACTAGGCCGCTCTCTTTAAGACGTTCGCGGAACTGTCCTCATTGCGCACGGTAGACTATTAGTCGGTCGCCTCCAGGATAAAACAGCTCGTCTAGATGCTCGACGGTTTTGTGCGAAAACCGGAGCTCTCTAAATACACTCTCCCTCGTGTTTCTGCTCTCTGATTATATGTGTAGAGGGTCTGGGGATTGCTCTATTTATAGGAGCAAAAACCCTAAAATATTCCCTCTTTCGTGGGGAATAAGTCACACTTAATTAGGAAGATAATTACTCCCACTAAAATGTGTTCTATTAAGATAATTAACTGTAATTATCTTTCTAATATTCCTTTTATTAATTATCCTTCTTATTTTTCGTATATGAAAATATACTAGATAGTTAATTAAAAATTTAATTTTAGCTTTACA